ACACGATTGAGAGAGCAAGCTGCCTTGGGCCAAATGTGTGCCAGTTTGCAAGGCAGCAGCATCAACAAGCCAAGAAACAAATGACACTGTTCATCCCCATGAACATGTGTGAACAGCCCTCATGGTTAGCCCTGGTTTCACATACTTGCAGTGGAAGACAGAATCTGCTCTAATGATGTAGCCCTGGTTGGAAAGATATAGCCAATATGGAACCAGGATCTTACCACTTGTCATATATACAGGGATCCTTTGCCATTAAAAAGTTTGCAAGCATCCAAAAATAGCTCTCCAATGTTATCTCTCCAATCCATCTCTCAAATATTACCTCTCCAAAACATCTCTCTAATACGACCGCTCCAATACCATTTCTCCAACATTATCTCTCCAAAAAATCTCTCCAATACTATCACTCCAATACCATCTCCCCAATACTATCCAATCCTTTTTGCAGCATTTGTATTTTTACAGCAAATTCCAGTCAATCAGATGTAACAATCTTCCAGAAGTAAGACAAACATACAAGTTTTGCAAAAAAACAACAAAACTTACAGAACACAAAGTTAAAACATATTGGAAAAACTTCATGGCGTTAGGTTTTTCACATAGATAACCTAAGGTTATTTATGTCAATAACCTTAGGTTATTTTTATGATAGACTAAATAGTTTGTTTATATCAACGAACTATTAGTTTAAAATAGTCTTCAAAAAGTAAATTGACTAAAAGCACCAAAATAGCCTAACCTGATCTATAGGGCAACACTTGAACAACGCGCGCAACGATCTGCCTTGGAATCGAAGGGCCTCTCTACGAGCATTCCACATCCTGGAGGAGATGGAAAGAAGTTGGGAGGGGCAGAACTGTGGGAACGTCTTTTGGGAAAGTATTGGATGCACAGAGTACGAAGGTGATGTTCTAGGTCAAGCATACAATCCTGAGCGGAGCGTCCCGGCAGTGAGGTCATGTCATGGATCAACTGGCTTGCACGAGCCTCAAAACGGACCCAACTATCCAACTGTGTCTGGTATGCATGTCTCATAGCAAATCGATCTATCCGATTCAACGGAAAGTGGAGCGGCTGAGGAGCATGCCACTTGGGAAGTGTCACCAGCAAAGGATGATGATGAGGTCCATTGATGCCACAGTTCCTTTCGAATTGGGCATTTGTGATCGGCTGCATGCGACGATATTGTACCTGCGATTGTCGAATCAGGATGTAGTCTATACGTGAGGCATGTGTGCCATGTGTGAATGTGTGCTGATAGCCCCCTTTACAGTCCATAAAAAATCAAATCGTCCATAAAAATAATCAAATCTTTATCCGTTATAATTTAAATCAATAATATCATTCCTATTCGTTCATTTTTTACATATATTATCTAAATTATTTATCAATACATCCCTTTATTCCATTCCTATATAAAATAAATACATAAAAATTATATCCTTTTTGCAAATAATATTAATATTGTAACATAAATAAAATAAAAAGTACCATCAAATATATCAAAAATAAAACATATCACGACTAAAAGAGATTAAAAACGGAAACACCAATTCCTCAAATAATATACAATACATAAAATTATACATAACTACATAACAAAACCTTATTTTGTAAGTAACATTCGCAAACATCTCAATAAAAACGAAAAATATACAACACACAAAATGTATAAACATTAATTCAAAAATAAACGAACAACAATACATCTCGAAAATTTATTTTGGAAGAAAGAAATAATGGCATACGAAGACACATAAACGATCAAACTCACAAAGCAAAGCCCGGGAGACCAGTAGAACGCGACCATAACACGCCAAACCCGGACAAACAAACTCAATAGGGCAACTTTGCCAAAACAAACGAAGAATACCTTCAAACAATCTGTTCCCACTAGATTCGAGATTCTCAAGATTTACAACTCCAGCCAAAAGAAGAACATCACTCGGGCAAAAGCTACCTGCGTTTGAACACGTCAAGGTTATATATATTTACACAAATGGAATAATACGCATACCCAGCAATTACAACCAGTACATTTGAACATGTCACCCTCGCTTTGCTAAGCTGCTCAGCTTCTCCTCTGAAACTATCTCTTTCCATCAAAAGTGGTAGTTTGTTACAGAATCATTCAAGACCTTGTTGTCTCAGCGCCCTCTCCTTTGAAACCTTTCACCTCAAGTCACGAAAATCTCGCAGAATCTGTTTTCTCATATCTTTGTGAGTTTTGCTTTCAAGCTTCCAGCTGAAATCTGCTCTTCTCTTTGGCAAATTCCAAGATTTTCACTTCGCAAATCTTCCTTTCTCAGTACGTTCTTTTTCAAGTCTTATAGGAACTTTCATTTCTTTTCACATTCTCCAGTAGGTTTCTAAGGCTCTTCTTCTTATCACCAAGCTGTGTCTTCTCAAATTTGATCACACTCCAACTTGACAAAGTGATGTGGGCAAAACATTGTTCTTTTAAACCCTTCGGATTTGGATGCTTGGCCCTGTGCTGGCAGAAAATATAACTTTGAAACGCGCTTGAAACGGAGAATGGCCTCTACACGGAACGGGAGTGGTCATGACTTGGCATTGACCCCCACAGAACCCACACCAACAACTCTGCGTGGGGGTTGTGATGGTGAGGTGCTACTAAATAGTGGTCTCAGGAACTTGTGAGGGCTTGATGTTGACCTCCTTTCAAATGTTGCTTGCTGATGAGGGAATCGTTTCAGAGAATCCATCAAAACTTCCACTGAACCGCCGTGTCCAGACCAACCGATTCAGCGCGTCCTGTCGCGCTTTCTTCCCGGCGGTCTGCAAGGGTCGAGGCGAGGCCCATAAATCCAACCTCTTGTGTTGGCTACTTCAGTCGAAGATTCAACAGGCTTTGTTTGCAGCAACTTTTCATGCGGTGTTCATTCAGAAATTGTCTTCCCAAGAATCGTAGCCACTTATTGATATGGGGTAGTGTCGTTGCCGATTTGATTCTTGGGACATCAGGACATCACTACTGCGCTCACCACGTTTCGTAGTTCACGAAGAGAGAATTAGCTAACAACGCCGGTCGGTTTTCCTCGGGCAAGGCGATTGCTGAAGGCTAAGTAGCCAAAAAGCAAGCAAATGAACAACTAGCCCAGGTTGCAGCTTAGGTTGTTCCACCCACGATTTAAAGTTTTTGCTTTGCGGCTTTACCGCAAAAATGTAGGAAACACACAATTATATAACATGCGCTGCCGGTTGCAGCCAGGCTCAGGCTGAGAAACTTGTCTCAGTGAAGCAAAACAAGCCTTCTTTCTCAAGTTGGCGAACCTTCTCCAAATCTGCCCACACCTGTTCATGGGAACCCGCAAGCACCAAATAACCAGCATGGGTAAGTCCACCGTGACTTGCGCTTCAGATCCAGCGGAGATGAAACTGCACAGTTCAAGGAAGGAAACCATGTTCTTCATTCTCTCGTATCCTGGTGTGCTTGCAACTTGGCCGGAGAAGTAGGACACGAGGAGTACAATCCACCCTCGAAAAATCCTGGGAACATCAGGCAGTGCAAAATGTTTCTGGCACAATCAAGAGTTGCGTCAGGGTGTGATGTCGTCACCGCGCTAAAGATATGTGACGCCCATCGGCGCCCATCCGCATGTTCACCTCTAGGCAAGGGCCATCGGCTACCATCAAATTCGTGTGGGTCGCCCCGTTGCGAATCTCCACATCAAGCGCTGTGCGAACATATGAAACGAGGCCTCGCGGGCAGTCTCTGGTCTCCACTGGTTCAACGTGGGTGCAAAGAAAATCACCACCGTTGACTGTTTGCTTTTGATAGGCCCAAACCATGATAGTCTTGTGCACACCATCGCGAGAGACATGGTCTACGGCATACTCGTCACCATGAGAAACTCTTGCAACAAAATCGCGTTGTCACCGGCCACCATTTTTCTCTTGGTGACCAAATGATGAAAGTGCTCTTTTGCAGCTTGCACTGAATGGCAAAGAACTCCATCCGAGCCTGCGGACTGCACTGGCTTCACCACCATTGGGAGTCCTAAATGTTTCAGGTGACCTTGGACAACATCCCACGAGTAGCCACAAACCTCCCGAACTGTGCGGCACCCAGCCATCTCCAGCGCATTCCGCTGCACGTGCTTGTTCTGACGGTCTCCCCCATGAAAGGCTTGTTCCCAAAGCCCGACGAGCAAAGGCTGAGCTCCAAAGAAATGAGATCTGCCAAGCTCACGCCTCACTCGCTGCCGGGGATGCAAGCTGTGATTTCAAACGCACCAAGTGGATAAAGCGCTCCTTCAATAGCCTTCACAGTTGCAGGAGTGGAGGCTTGCTCCTTCACCACTAGGTAGGTCTGATAGGCGTCGACTTGTTCAACCTGATCTGAGCTCTGAGTGTGTGAGGTGCGCTCCACCACCTTTTTGCTCCACACAACTACCACCAAGAAGCCACGAGAACATGCTAGGGGCGCTCCAGTGGAGAGGGTGTCAACAATCACGACGACCTCTCTTGGCATCGTTTTCATCAGAGTCATGGCTTCAAATTCAAATCTATTCAAACGCACACCCAAACTGAAATTGGAAATGCCTTTGCGGTGTTGAATATGAAATGACTCCTGTTTTGATGGCCCATGAGATCCCATGAGATTGCACACAGTCCAAGACACTGGACCGTAATTGACATGGTCCAAGCGCATTTGTTCCGCGCGCTCCATGATCCATGCTTTCAAGTTTTCATGTTGCACGAACAAAGCTGGCAAACAAACAACGTCGACCTTTATCCCTCAGTGACACCTATACAAAATAGCGGCCTACGGGTCACAAAATGAACAGCTAGCCAAGATTTGCAGCTAAGGCTGTTCCATGTGAGCCGCTGTACAAGATGACCTCAAAATGGCCAAGGGGCCACAATCTATCTGAACAGCTACCCGAGATTTGTAGCTTAGGCTGGTCCTCTCGTGCCTCTTGTCCAACCACTTTGCCGCCAGCAAACTATTTGACCTATTTAGATAAACAATGGTTGCTTCCCTTGTATGTGTAGGCGCTTACCTCTCTGCGGCCAGGTGAACTGTGCAAGGCACAAAACTGTTTTACAAAGTAATTAAACACAGTTTGAAGTCGCTCCAACATATAGCTCAATGAACATCGAAGAACTCTGGAGTGGCCGCTTCAAAGCGATTCAAGAGGAGCTTTCTGAGGTGTCAGTGCCTGTTGAAGGGCTGGTATTCTCAGCGGCTGTGTCCACTTTGCGCGGTACCAATCCTACCAAAGGCACAAGGAAGCAAAGAGATCCGGCATAGATCAATGATGTGATGAAAAAGACAAAAGTGTAGCCATGTGCATCTGCCATGACACCACCGAGCAACGCAGCTCCAGCCCAGCCTGCCATTCCTAGGCTCAACAGAGCGTTCCACATGCCGCGCCGCGTTGAGTTTGTGTAATCGGCAACAATGGAATCGTTGAGTGGCTTGAGGCAATTTGGTCCAATACCGCGACGGAACAGGAAAACAGCTACCAGTATTGGCGCTGGCAGCTTGAAGGAAAGTGAGAAAGTCAATCCGGTACACACTGTGAAAAAGCAAAGCATAGTGATGGCTCGCCCACAATACCTTGAGATCCAAAGCGCAGCTTTGCTGCATACAGAAATGAAGAAAATGGAGAAGCCTTCCAGCAGGTTGACCTGGACGAACGACAAGTGCACATCCTTCACGAAGAAAGGGTCAAAAAAAGGAACCATCATGCCACCTGCACACGTGGTCGAGAGAGAGAGAAGGTCAAGCACAACATGGGCACCACACGACCGGCGCAGCATAACAACTTGCATGGCTTCGCAACATGCTTCACAACATTCACAGTCACAACATCTCCACTCCGTCCTCTACTTTCAACTTCTGCAGCAAGCGGATCACCGAAGTTGAATATGAATATTGCTGCAGGAATCACCACTATCAAACCACATAGAAGGGCAAACTTCACAGGAAGCTCGTCGGTTTGGATGGAGTGTGCCTGTTCTGTGCTCTCTGAAACGATGACGACTGCTGCTGCGAGAAACGGCCCGGTGGCTGAGCCTGCAAGGAAGCAAACCCACTGCGTCACAAAAATGCCTTCGCGCTTCCCAATTGGAATGCTGTCGGTTAGAATGGCTCGTGAAGCACTTTGAGCAAGCTCCATAAAAAGCCCACAGGCAGCGCTTAAGGTTGTCGCCCAAGCAATATGGTCCGTGCACAGCGAAAACCCTCCTGCAACCACTGTGATGAAACCCAAGACAATGGAAACTCTCAACGGCCGCACCCGACGTGTGGGGACAGAATCCACAAGCCAACTGATTGGAGCCACCGAGGCCAGCTTCACCAATCCCGAGACGCCTTGAACGAAACCGACAGCCAAATTCGGCCCCCAGGCGGCCCAGGCCTGACTTTCAGCAATGTGATACAAATAGAGCACCAGAACAGGTCCCCTGACGATTTGTTCCAGCATGCCCATGCAGAATGACAAGGCAAAAGCGCTTCGGATATTCTTGGACTGCAACTTCATCACACGCTATGGCTATCACTATGATGTCCTAACAAGGGCCTGAACTTGTAAAATGCAAAACTTGAAGAAGCGGTCAAAGCATTCTCAGTAGTCCCAATCACAACGCGACTCTTAAACACAAAAAATCTTTTTTGGAAACAACAGGCGTTTGCCATTCAACCGCATTCCAGTTTGTCGCTCGTGTTTGGCTAAACGTGCAAATGGAAATGGTTCGGCGCCCTACGTCTTGCATATTTACAATCAGACCCGACTAGTAGGCAGGAACTCTCCTGCTTACTACAGGCGGAAAGCGTTGCTAATTACACCAGCATAGACCCAGATAGCTAGGCAGAATCCCACGACCTGTTGACATGCGACTGGCTGGAACAAGAATGCACAGCCAGCTTATGGCGCCTCCACAGCGCGCACATACAGCTGACACCGGCACCGGTGCGCTTTGCCAGCTGACAACACCGCACCAGCACCCAGGACCACAACACCAGCACCAGCACCGACACCCTTTCAAAAGCGCGCGCAGCCAGCTGATTCCTATTTGCAGCAAGAAGCCCATAGCTATCCCTATTTGGGGAATAACAACGTTCGATCTTGCGCGTATAAGTTTATGCGCACAAAAGTATGCGCGCAAGCAGCAAAGCCCGTAAGTATCATTGGCCCAACACCAAGCAGTATCCAGCGCGACTATTGATTTTGTGGCATGCTTGAAGCAACGATCTGTAGAACGATAAGGCCATATGATCTTGCGTGTATAAGTTTATGCGCACAAAAGTATGCGCGCAAACTCCAAAGCCCGTAGGCTTCATTCGCCCAAGGCAAGGCAGTATCCAGCACGACTATTGTGTGCGTAGCATTCTGAAACACGCGGTCGGTTGAGAGCCTGAAGTTGCGCATAGAACATTATACGTACAAAAGTGCGCGCGCAAACAGTACAGCCCTTGACACAGCTGTCGGCCAGAACAGAACCTGAAGAGTGTAAATACCCCACAGCGCTAATAGACAAAGAGTGCTCAAGCGACAACACCGTATGATGTTGCGTGCATAAGTTCACGCGGCCCTTGACTGCTGGCACTTCACTGTCAGAAGCGGCGGTTGGTCGCCCTTCGCCGCTACAAGCAGCGCATTGTCACCCTTCACTGTCACAAGCGGGCACCGAGCACCGGCACGCCACCTCACGGCACCCTGCACCAGCACCCAGCACCGGTACCCAGCACCAAGCACCACCCCCTGGCACCCAGCACCCGGCAACCGCGCGCCAGCACGGGCACCCGGCACCCTGTCTCCACCACGCGCACAGCCAGCTCGCAGCACCAGCACCAGCGCCCGCACCCTGTCTCCACCACGTGCACATCCAGCTCACAGCACCGGCGCCCAGCACCAGCACCAGCAACCTGTCTCCACCACATGCGCAGCCAGCTCACAGCGCCAGCACCCAGCCAGCTCACAGCACCAGCAGCAGCACCGGCGCCCGCCACCACCACGTCCACATCCAGCTCACAGCACCAGCACCAGCACCGGCGCCCGGCACCAGCACCACCAACCTGTCTCCAGCACCACCACCCGGCACCCAGCACCAGCAACCTGTTTCGAAAGCGCGCGCGGGCAACTCATTGCTATTTGAAGTAAGAACCCCATAGCTTCGCTATCTGGGGAAAAAACCAGGGTTTTGGCAGACCTCAGAATTCTGAGTGTTTTTCATACACCGTCAGTAAGCAGCAACTAGAATGGTAAACTGTTTTTACTCGTTCCCCGAAAGGCTCGAAATGCTGGGGATGCCAAGGGATGGAAATGCATTTCTGACATGACATTGTCCAACAGCAGGGATCAAACCATGATTTGCCTACTAGAAGGCAAGAAACCTTCAACAAATTGGTGAGGGAGGTCAGGAAATGATGTTGTAGAGGTATGGGGGGAGGGCCCTGGGAAGCACACTGGAGGAACCGTGGAAGAGGGGGTCTGGCAGGTGGGTAGACAATGTCCCTTACGTAGACAGGGCGGGTAGTGAATTCATGCGTGAGAACTGTAAAAAAAGGTTTGCTGGGGTCCATATTAGGTTTTTATAGAGGGGTGTTTTTCCTGATCGTGCGTGCCAGGTAATTCCACGCCGGGCAAACAGTTCTTCCTCTGTTCTCCCCATCCTTAATTTTAGTTTTCATATGTTTTCATACATGTTGGCAACAACATCACATAATGTTGTTTTTGCTCATCTCACATTCATGCCACATCATGGTCCATGGTGCTTAAAAAGTAACAGCAAAAGCAACATCAAGCACTTGCGCACACACTTAGGATAGGGTGTACTGAACTGAAAGCGGTGCCACACGCCGGCCTAGGGTACCATTTCCTAAGAGTACAAGTAAAACCTAATGGAGGCTGGGGGTCTTCAAACGGAAGTGAGGCCCAAAGCGCAAGCACCAAATCGACGAGTTCGGATCGACAAGATGACGGCGATCCGTGCACATCTGCAGAATCAAAAGGAATAAATGGCCACCAGCTGCGTCTTACGATGCGCCCAGGTGCACCAAGCAGGTACGTTTTCGCGACAGCTTGGATGGGTCTTCGTTGGCCCATGCCATCCAAGTGTCCATGGGCCCCCTGCTAAAAAGAAAAACAATTCAACGGAATCCCTGTGATTACAAGGGGTACACACACACACACACGCCTCCCCAAGGGGATGCATCTCTGCCCTAGAGCGTCCTTGCACCTAGTAGTAAGGCCAGGAACCCCTAGAAGCATCGAAGTAGCGTCCTAGTAGTAAGGCCAGGAGCCCCTAGTAGCAACCCACTCTAAGGTCCCGACGGGAGGGAGGGGTAGGGAGAGAAGAGAAAAAGAAAGAGAAGAAAGGAAAGGGGAAGAAGGTGACAAAAGCATCCAGGGACACCCAAGGAGGAAGAAGGTGAAGAGAGGAAAGAAAGAAAGAAAGAAAGAAAGAAAGAAAGAGAGAGGGAGAGAAAGGGAGAGGAGAGAAAAGAAAAAGGCAGGTGTTCCCAGCTACGAACAGTCGTCCAGGGACACACCAAAGAAAGAAAGGGGTGATCCTGAGTATTCCATTCAGGAAAACACCAATAAGCAAAGAAAGAAAGGGGGGAGGGAAGGGGAAGGGGTGAAAGAGTGACTAGGGCGTACACGGTAGAGGTGCAGACCGCTAGTGTCTTTCGCTCACGCAGAGTCTTATCCTATATCCCTTGAGCCTTATGGCAGTCAAGCATGGACACACTAGATAGGCCACTGGAGTGGAACCTGTACAAGTATGCCTATACATTTCAACAGGCACAAAATTCATGTCCACTCCTGCCTATTGCGTATGTCGCATACTCTTTTCTACCGCAAGGCTAAAGCAGTCCAGCAAGCTCTAAAAGGAAACTACGGCGCCCTGTACTTACCGATTCTAGTATGTTTCATACGATAGAAAAGGTAATCTCAAAGTCTACTAAATACAGTGAGGGAGCAATAGCTGACTCACCTCAACTACAAAGTCAACGACAATGTATCTCGGCTGGAGACTGTATTGTTCAACCGGCGAAGATACCGTGTACCGGCGCTCAATAGCCCTTAATTAGCTAGAGCTTTAAAGAAACTTAAATTCAAGGAAAGCGGCTTTCTTACACAGAGACCTGTAAAAGCAGTAAACGACACTCGCGTAACGAAGAACTAAAAATTCAAGACCGCGCAAATTGCAATGAATTAGGATGCCTTGCAAAATGCAAGGAGCGTCAACTCTCGGTCCGAGGAATGTTCTTCTCGAAAAGTGGTCTCGGCCGCTTCCATACACTGCATCAAAAGGACTCTTACTCTCATCGACATCAAAAACACAAAGAAGGAGACACCGGCAAATGTATGTACAAAACTTGCACTACAAATGCAAACTTATGAAATGACTTAATCATCAACCATGAATGGTTGTCACTTAGAGGTCATCTCAGAAAAAGCGGCTGTGATAGATATCATCAGTTATGCAAAACTGTCCATACCTATCTGCATGCTAAAGCGTATAAACCTGGAATGCAGGAGTATCTTCTTTGATAAAAAGTTTCTCCTCGTTGCAAACCAGAATTTATTAAAACTTCAGCCTGGCGACTTAAAGTCAAGCCTGGAAGCAAGGTATCAACTGTAATCAGAAGTATCCTCACTTCCTAGCCATCATTAAAAGTTAGCTTCCGCTCTGAGTTTCATGCCGCTGCAGTCGATGAAGCTGCTTGTTCAGAAGTTGGCGGCCTACCTTTCCTTTTCTTTTCTTTCTGTTTCTCCTTCCTCCGCAGTTTCGCCTCATGAAGAGTTGCTCCCATGCGATACTGTCTTCTGTCTCCAGATGAAGAGGAAGCTGGTCTGAGTGAAATAAACATTGGACCATGACTGTCCTCGTCAGTGGGCCTTGAGCACATAACCTCCGTGTCAATCATAGCAAAGTTCTCTGAAAAATTACAGATGAACTCCTTCGTGCTCACTGTGGAATTTTCATATTCCTCTTCACTCATCGAATGACCCCATTCAACAATGGTAGACAAACATGTATCTCCAAGCTTTGATCCCTGGTACTCTTCTTTCTCTTCTGTAGAGTATTCTTCCCAGAGTTTCTCAAAGTAATCTTCACACTGCTTGAGGACTTGTGAAGATGAACTGTAAAATGTTCTGGGAATAGGTGCTTTGATACCAGGATCTGCTTTTACACGGGCTTCTGAAAATCTGCGGATCCAATGCTGCATGGTGCTGTAATAATAGTTAGCCATTGGCTGCCTTTTGTACCCAGACATTCTGTAGGCTAAACTATTTGCATCACCAGAAATGATGTCCACCTCATAGACAAAACACTCATAAAGCATCAATGCTGTCTGTTCTCCTGTCAGTAGGTGGGCATCCACAGCACGGTGTGTATCAACATGATAATTAAAGACTCTGATGGTATGCATGTTCGCTCTAGTAAGTGGAACACGCTGGTCTTCTGGACCATAGTCATCAAATTCAAAGTCTGCATCCTTGAATTCTTGACGAGGCCTTGTTTTTCCAAAACAAATCTCGTAGATAGCCCAAGTTACATCACGCTGTTCACAGTGACCAAGGTCTTGGTCATGTC